CTGCTGATTTTCTAAGTGCCTGGTTTTTTGCTATCTTGCTTGTCCATCACACCTGCTTTGTCTGTTTGCCTTCAGTGTTTTGCATTTATATATTCCCACACTAAGGATCTGCTCTCCTCTTCCCTAGCCAGCTACATTTTAGTGTAATAAACTGCAAGATAAAGTTCTATGAGAAATAAATCTGGTGCTATCCCTGCTTGTTCCACTTTGCAGTTCTGAGTTTGCTGAATGCAACGCAGATTTCTTCTTTTGAAAGAAAGTAGTAGCCAAGTACCTTAACAAACTTGAATCCATTTGGGGAAGTTGTAGGAAACTCTAATATTAGAGCTGCCATTTAATTCTCAAGGCAATAAAAAGGACCAAGAGGCCAAGTCGCCTCTGAACGTCTTTCATGTCGGTTTGTTACACAGTGTGATCTTGTTTTACAAGTGCTCTGTTTACAAGAATGTTAGGGGGGGCGAGGAGGGGAGGAATGTCCATTTAAGTCCCACAGTCACATAGGGCTACTTTTGTAAAGGTCTGATCCAGTCCTACCAGCTGCTTGCCCACAAAACTTTGCAATTGTGGAGGCTAATTAAGATTCTTCAGAGGAGCTCTCCTCTCCCCGGAGGTTGCAGGCAGCCTCATTAGACATGCTGTACCTCCCCCTTCACCCAGCAGAATGCCCCACTGTGCTTGGTTTACATTATGGCTTATGAATTAACCAATTGATTCTGAAAATATCATTACTTTGGGGCTAAATAAACCTGTTCCCTTATAAGGGGAAAAAGTCAGGGCTCCAGATAGGAATAAACCGATACCATATGACCTACAAACTCTCTTCTCTCACATTGCGAGTGGAGGATTCACTTGCCAGGATCCAATAGGTTCAGTACGAAGGAAATTTATCATGGCTTTTTGTGACGATGCGGGGGGGGGAAAGTCTGGGCCTGGGCACTAAGCATGACCTACCCACTTGCATGCAGTAAGCTTTTTTTACATGCAACTCTGAATTAAAAAAAAAATAGTTTACATGAAACGACTGTATATTTGTTTTCTCTTTTTTGTGTCCACTTCTCTGTCCAACTTTAAAGTGAAGAAAGCCGTAACTGGTACAGATCAAGCACATCTGAGAGTTGCTTGGTATTAACGCTGTATGACTGAACTATACAGCTGAACACAGCTCTAGCGCTGGAACAAAATTTCAACTGGTACCAACACATAATGCTCGACGTCCAGTATCTTTGAGTGGTTATGACTCAAAGTTTATATTCAGTCTTTAAATTTGTTTTTAAACCAAACCCAAATCTGATTTAAAGCCCAAACTGAGGAATATATAAATTTAATCATGTTTCATTTCATCTAATACAAATATCTTTCCCCTGCTATGTTTCTGAAAACTCTGTTTTTCATTTTTTAAAAGAAAGCTAACTGCAGGAACAAGACAAGGTATTTAAAGTAGCAGAGAAACCCAACGTGCTGACATATAGAGTTTCAAGTTGGTCACGATAAGCTTACCGTGAGCTTGGACAGCCTCCTCTTCCTGAATGTTTTGAGTGTTTAGCTATACCTCTTTCAGTTAAAAAGATTACTCTCCCCTCCCCAAACTGAGAACATTAAAACGTATGACAACTTCACTGCACAAAACCGTACTATATTTTGTAATAACAAAATGCTTTATTTTGGGGGAATACAAGGAAATGTGACATCCTCATTATCAAATTGTTTTTAAAAGGCATTCTTTCTTTCAAAAATGTAACACTCGTATAGAAAAAGTGACCTGTGGATCGGCCCTCTCATTTAGCAGTGGGAATTCTTTTTTATTTTACAGCTGAAGCTGGGATTTGAATAATCTACAGCAACAGATTTCAATTTTGTTGATGTTTTCTAGTAGCATGGGGCTCACCTGCCACTCAGCGCTGCTCCAGATTGACAGCCTAGCAGGAAGCTGACAACACAACGCTGAGATGGAGCTATTGCAATTCTCACCCAGGTCGCTTTGCAACAAACCACAAGACTTCACCATTACCACAAGAAGACAGTGAGAAAGCCACAAGGTAACTCATCTTCTCTTTTATCTCCAAAGACTTCTCATGCAAGCCCTCATGAAGTTCTCGTACCATTCATCCGATTACACCTCAGCACCTCACCACACATCCCCTCTGCTGTAGGCCAGAACTGTGTTGCAAAAGGGATACAACAGATCAAAGGCAAAATACAATTATTTCCCCAATGCATCTGCTTTCTGTACAGTACATTCCAAGTAAGCTGGGATATATTTCAAAGACCAAAAATTTATATTCATAAATTACTGCTGCCCTCTCTGAACTTTTTATGTTAGAATTTAAGTTGTTAAAGAAAGGGACTGGAAAGTTCCTAAAATTGTCAGGTTATAACGTAAGCATTTGCCCTTTAATCCAGCATGACAACTTGTTACCACAAGTAGTATCCATGCTAAGTGGTGAGATGCATCGGTCTTATTGTTTAAAGGGGGTTCATGTTGTCTGAAGTGGGAATAGCAAACTCTAAAAGAACTAGCAGTTTTCTTTATTCAGGTTAGACATAACAAATATGTCAGATACAGCAGTTAGTCTAGAAAAATACATTTAAAAAAATCTCCAGCAGACCATGCTCCCTGTAACAAAATCTTTCAAAACCAATTTTACAAATTATTCTACATTAATGTAAAAAGAAAATCTTAAAATTTAGCTTCATGGATTCCATCAAACATCTATCTATCAAAACACGAGTTTCACTATTTGTAGATGTTAGAATTTGTAATACATTTTTCTAATGTATCCTGTACATATTAAATATCCTAAAAGGCTCCTCTTGTAGTGCATTAACAATTTAGCAAGCACACTCAGTATTTCTCCAGTACCATTTGCATTACAGTTATTTGCCCGCAAATGTAATTAACATCTAAAAGTGCACACAGTTAGGTCCCCCCCTCCCTCCCCATAACCTGTTTCCCTGCGGAACCCAGACATCCACTGGAAACAATATGCTACTGTAGTTAATCTACTCACGATTAGAAATGTGTGACTAAAGTGTTCTTAAACTATACAGGAACTGAATTATATACAAGAATCAAAAGGACAGCCTGTATTTACATCAAGAAACTTCCACTACCACAGCATTATACCAAGAACTCAGTACAGTGTTACAGTTGGTATTTACTTAGGATTTTAGCTTTAAATCAGTATAACACAAAACTTAGCTCAGGAAATACCCTGAAAAAATGAACATGTTTATTAAATATGACTTCTATTATGTCACAAGACAAATATCCATTGCTGGATATTCTTACAAGTTCAGTGTTTGGAATAGTGTGCTGTTCTATAAAGCAACTAAAAAGTTCCAGAAAGGTTGCTGAGGGGAAAAAAAAGGAAAGAAAGGAAAGAAGAAGAAAAAAAAAAAAAGAAAAAAAGATAGCAGATATCAAGTGAGGAATTAGATTTGAATAACTAAACCAAACTGTTAGCACAAGTTTAAGACAGTCACTGCATGCAGAAACCCCTTGGAAAAGTGTCATACAGATTTGAGTATGTTGTAATACACAAGCTTAAGATGTAACTTCACTGAATTTTTCCATACCAGTTGGTAGGACTTTTCCCTATCAAGTGGAAGGATTTTAAGATTAAATTCCAGATTATCCAGTTTGAGGTTAACAGCTTTACTCTCCAAGAAATCCAGTGTATGAACCTATATTACATTTTTCCAATGCTACTTTAAAAAAGGCAAACTATAAACTTTTCAATTCGCTTTTTACATTTAACTTTTCAAAGAAACCCAAAATATTGTCTTTAATTCGCATTGAAGTGGTCAAACATTTCTCCTGTTTCTCCCCTCCCCAAAAGTGCAAAAAACAAGTTGCTGCTTGGTCCACAAACATAATACATCATGTACAGTGAGATATTTTCCTTCTGATGGAGTGCTGCTGCCAACCCATCACTTTCAATTTCTATTCCAAGAAAAATGTCAGCGTCCAAAGATGGAATTCAATTCCAGTAGAATTAATTCTACAATCTGATTCTGGTAGACGGTGTGGACTGCTATATTACCAGTCTCTTTCTCTGGCTTTAATAAGGTTGGACCAAAAACTATTGCTACGCTTTGATAGGTCATTCGGTTCTTTTCTCCATTTTCTACAACTCTGAAAAAGAGAAAAAAAAAATACACGAGATGAGACTTATCAGTGTTAGAGTAATAGGATGACAGGAAAAAGACACAGTCCAAAGCAAATTACTATTCACAGTATTTATTTAATGAGTAGTCTTGTTATTAGAACACAGAGCTGCTGCAATTCCCCTTCCTATGGAAAACTTTTATTTTGAAATGCTATTCCTGATCCTCTCACAATCCCTTGAACATAAGGACTTGGCACTAAACATCACAACTACGACACATACTGTCTAAAGTCTGTTTGGTGCTCTGCAAACTTGTATAAATACAGCCTGACAGATTGTCTTCATCAAGTCCAATATAGGCAAGAAAAACGCAGTGGGAACAGTCACTTAGTACTTTTAATTGCATTATTTAGCTTTAAGGGAGGATCGGCAATACAAAGCCTTTCCTTCTATCTGCTACTTACCTCTTCAGGTGTCTAAAGAGTACCTGCATAGTATCCTGATTTGGTTTTGGCAATTGTTTGATTAAATCTTTAACAGCATGGACACGCTGCCTTGGTTCTTGTTCTGCAAGAGGATGAGGTGCAGAAACAAAAATTCAGTATTTTTGTTTAAAACTTTAGCATAAAATGTAACAGACGGAATAAAAGCAACATTTTGCAGTGCTAATAGGAGATAAAACACTGCCACCTCCTGTCCGGACCGCGCGTTACTGACAGGCACTTGCAGGTACGCGTTACAGACATTCATAACCAAAACATCCTTTTTACTGACCAAAATACTGAAATTAATACTACATTTGGAGCAGAACTTATACAAAAAGCACATATATGTTTTCCAGACTTACTAATTGCATTGACAAAGTCGTTGAAGTGATTATAAGTAAACAGCGGCTCTGGCAATTCTCTGAAAAACATCTTTAGAGCTCCTGTGATGACATGTATATCTTCCCATTTACTGTCATTCAAGTCTAGTTTCTCATCTGAGAGAGAAAAATGCATAATTAATGTTAATAATTTAACTATAAAAGGTTGCTTGTTTGGTTTTTTTAAATAAACTTAACAGCTCTTCTGTACTTAAAGCAGTGAAGACTCTTGCTTCACTTCAACCCATTCTCTGCCGGGATACAGAGCTGCAGCAGTGTAAAAGGGATACAAAAACTCAACCACTGCAGAGAGAGATGGCCAAACTCTGCCTACTGCACTACATGCAGCTCCCCTACACCAAGGGCATTTTCCAGAGGGGACTAGGAGCTGCTGACATAACACAAAAAAATTTACTGTCAGATGCTGTCCATCAGGAAATGAGAGTTCAGATTGCAGATGGGCTACTGTCCTCTTCCTAGTTGCAAGCAGCCTATTGAGTCCCACTGAACAAAACACTAAGATACAGCCACATGAAAGGGTTTTATACATAATATGGTGAAGAGGAGCTAAGCACCCCCATACTAAAAGGCAGTAGCAAATCTCTCTAAAAAGCATTAACTTACAACTTTAACACTAGTGGAAGTTTAATATGCTTACTGGTTTTCCATAAGGTATGAAGTTGTTTTCTTTGCAATAATTCCCCCCCTCAAATTCTATTACTGTCTATCTTTAGAGTTATGTTCTAGCAATACCTCTACGCTGCACATAAGAGCAGACCTCCAGGATGCTAGGGTTTTCAAGTAATGTATATTACACACTAAATTCTGCAATTTTGAAGTAATTTTACTTTGAAGATGACAATAATTTCTCATGAGAGACTGCAGTTATACATTAAGACAATTTTTTTCCTGAGCTTTCTATGAATTTCAACGATCTGAAAATGTACACAATTGTAATATAGTTGAAGGAAGCTTACCATGATTGACTGCAAATCTTAGCTTCTGTATCACTGCAAGATTGCCACTAACTCGGTATAAGCCATCAATATCTAATCCTAGAAAACAAAGGGATAAATTAATTTTAATACCGTACACATGTATGAATCCTGAAATCATTAGGCTGCTTCTCTATAGGTCTACTCAGCAGAATTTAAAAAAGAAACCCACCTTGTAACAAAGAACACTTGGTTCAACAAAAAAACAAACAAAAAAGAAGTTAAACTAGCTTTTTTGATGGGCAGGGCGTATCAGAGGAGGTTTAGTTTGCTGACACAGGTTTGGTAGTGTCAAGTTCAGAGTAATCTCTACAACTTCCTGAACAGTAGAACAGTAGTAGTGGGGCAACAGCTCTAAGTTTCCCCACTGAGACTAGGTGTCTCGTTTAAGATGCTCTTGGTGGGTGGGCAGGGAGTATATGGGAGTCCAACATGCAAGAACCAAGTTATTTTGTGGATGTTCAATTTTTTTAATGTATGGTTAAGAAAAATCAAATCAAGTCATGCATAGAGAGCATCTCAAAGTTGTCAAGTGACCAGGTTGGCATGGAGAAGGAATGATATGCATGCACACTCACCACTACAACAGCCTACAAAACTAAACTGGGTAGGCCTTGCCTTTACAGTATTACACACTCAACCAGAAAAGAAGAAAACTGTGTCTCTGTGGTTGCTACTGCAGTTACTCAGAAGTGATTAGGAGGTAAAGAATTTAATTGAAACGCCACTTGAATGCAGCATGTGAGTCAGTGCCACTGAGAGGGTGAGTGTTGCCAGAATACCTGCAAGTCCCTGTAGCTCCTCAAGGAGTTGTTTGATGCAACACAGCACAGTTACCAGCACCATCTGACATATCCCTTTTCCCCATAATCCACTAGTCATTCCTTTACAGAAAGAACTGATTTGAAGTGTATTGGCAGTAGGAAGAAGAGTTGGAGAAGTGGGGGAAAAAAGCTGTTCATTTCTGTCAGCTTCCCCTCAGGTATTTAAAAAAGGAAAACTTCACCACTATCTTCACTGCAGTCCTGTCTTTAAAATAAACAAGAAAAAAAAAAAAAAAGAACAAAGCAAAATAACCCCTTTCTCACAAACTGCAGATCACAAACGGAATAAAGCCTGTTGTTACAAGCAAGGTGGCTGTTTGTCAAACTGGAGTAAGGCAATGAAAACAGTTATTTTTCCCCTCCCAGGCCATAAGATAGCAGCATTGAGGAAAAGGACTACAGGCTACCACAAAATCCTAAATAAAGTTCCCATGAAAGGATGCCTTAAAATTCACATGTAGTATTCCCCTGTAACACTTACCCTGATTCTCAAGAGAATGTTCTCAGATTAACAAACTGGTATATATCTGAATGATGATTATGGAGATTCCATAATCCCCTTTCAGTCATCTTTTCCAAGAGACAGAGCAGTGACAATGGCAAGAAACAAGCAAGAAAACTAGCACAGACTACAGCCAAGTCAGGAGTCACAACCAACATTTTCAACAAAAATGTGAAGATGTCTTTTGCATCAGACAACCCAGAATGTCACATGTAGCTTTCAAACATATAATTTTCTCAGTTGGCTAGGACAGACTTATTTTCAATGAAAGCAAACAAAAATTGCATCAATATGTGGACACTGATAATCTCCAGAATTGCACAAAACTTCACATAGCAATCAGTGTAACTGGCTGAGGGGCATCAAACCAATAGACTTGTCTTCTAGCAGTCAATACATACATGGAGCAGGAACACAGCTTTTTCATAGAAGCTTGTTTCAAGAAATTTTTAATACAAATGATTGTTAGCATCCTTAAACCTTCCAAAAATGAATGGCTGTATTTTGACAGTCTCTCTCTTTTCATGTAAAAAAAGCAAACCAAACCAAAAACACAACCACAAACCCTTGACGGGCTGAGCTTCTTGTAATCCCTCTTTCCTTAGAGCCTTGCTGCCAGCAGGCTGTCCTGCCTTCCCCTCAGCTTGAAATACACTGAAGCAGATCAATTGCTCAGATGTAAGATTTCCTCCTATCTCCCCATTTTGGATCCCACCTACCTCCCCACTCTTGAAAACTCATTGCTAACTACAGATACAAGTTTCAGATTATTTTCCCCAAATAAATCCACAGCATTTTAAGGATTAAAATGTTCAGAATTGGATAGTGGGGTGAGCAAGAGAGATTCGGAAACAAAAAACTTCAACCATACCATGTTCCTCAACATGCTCAATGCACAGCTTCACGAACTTTGGCACCGTGCTGTTTTCTCTTTGACACAAGCTGGTGAGATTGGAACCAAACACTTGATCTGGAACCAAGTAAAGAGACTGATTTACAGTGGAACAGGACTCAAGTGACAGAACTAGTTCAGGTTAAAAAAAACCTCTACAAAGGGCAAAGACTACTGGATACAATTGTCGCAGTATTACAGTGAAAAGAGGGAAATTTTGAAAAGAGCTCTCCGTAGCTCCCAGCACAAAAGAACATCAGCAGTTACACAAACGTGAGTCTCTGAGTAAGGAACTTTTGCTACTGAAATAATTTTAATCCATCAGGAGATACTTGTAAGAGTCATATAGTCATTACTGTAATGAGAAATTTAATGGATCCAAATGTCCTGTTACACTCCATTCCTGTTCTGAGTTCAAAATACATTTACTGTAATCTTTGTTACAAATCTGGACGGAGATAATAAACTTTAACTAAAGTGAAAGCTTTTGACATTGCTTGGGGAAAAACGCTGTAAAATTTCATCTTTCATTGCAACTACTGTTTAATCCAGCATTACATATTAATTTACTTTAATGTAGAGTCTTTAACTTCCAACATTTTTAAGTTCCGACATGGATTTGCAAATGACAGACCTTTACATCACAGAGCTCTGAACAGATGCCGGTATGACTATGCATAGGCAATGTGGCTGCAAGGTTCACACCTAAATACAGATATTTATGGGCAAAGGTAATTTTGAGTCTTGTTTTCAAAACTACACAATGCAGAGGGAGCATTTTCTATTATAAACTGGAGCAAAAATTACAATCAGCTTGGACAGAGAACAGATTCTTGCAATGTCTCAGTGTATTTCAGCAACATGTTAACTCCTCTTGTTCAGATTATGTTATCACCAAAATCTCTCTCAGACTCATTTCTATGGTTTTCATCAAAGATGCCCAGATAATAGATGGCCTTTCGTGTTCAGATGCATGAGACAAATGAAAAGCTTACACTCTTAAAGGGAAGAAAGTTTTGGGGGTTTTGTGTTTTGTTGGCGGGGGGGGGGGGGGGTTTTTTTGGCCTTTTTTTTTTTTGTTTAAATCTGTTAAATAAGGTATGTAAGTGGCCATCTCCGTGGTATCCATTGGATCTCACTTCAGTTTTTGCAAGAGAGAAACTGCTCTTGCGTTTGCATCATGCATAGCATCTAGCTCATTTTTCATGTTCAGTAATTTAAGTAGATTCATTAACAACACTTGCATCTAACTACTGCTTTGGGAAATCCAAACAGCACACCAAACCAATTATACAGTATAAAAACTGGCATATAATGGTACGATTAGCTGTATGCGTATAAGGCCGGTGACCCAAAACACCTCAGTCCTGTTGCTGCTACTCACGCAGCCAGCTGTGTAAGCAGAATCAGTAGCAAAGGATTGAAAAAGCCCACGCAGTGGAAAGCCAAGCTAGCATGCAGGTGTAGCAGGTAAAGCAGTGCAGATTAGGTAGCACAAGAAAATATCAGCACGTAACAAACTGATTGGCTACAATTGTCTCTCTCCGACTTTCATAATTCCCACATATGCAGGAATCACATTGTTAACTTTCATCTTAAAGTAACTTTTGTAATTTTGTTTTTCAATGTAACAAAACTTTAGCACAGTTACTTCTCCACTTAGTGCATGCTGTTTCAAGCGGGGTTTTTTTCCTAGAACTTTTCATTATTTTTTCTGCTGATACTGGGTTTGCCAAGTTTTCTGTTTACTAGGCTTGTTGTGTAGCAGCCACAAAAGCACACTGGGCTTCTAAATAAAGGCTTCTGTATTTTTCATTCATACGGTAAATGTAAAATGTACAGTGCAGATCCAACTTTTAAAATTTACACCATGCTTTTAAATAAAAACAAACTCTTCATTCCTTAACGTCTTTATTAAAAATCCAATCATCAGCATGCATGTGTACAAATTAAACTTGGCTTGGCGTTCGCTGTTGCTAATGTCAGAAGTTACGTCACTGAGCCATGACATGAATACTAAGCTGTAAAGCAGAGCAAAATGTCAAAGTCTGTTTGGGATAAGGAGGCATTATTCCCAAAAAATCCATAATTTACAGTTAAATTATATTTGCAGATACACAAATATATAAAATGCCACATGCAACAGAAGCACACCTGTTAAAGTATGTAGTTAGGCAAATCACAGTAAGATTTGGTCTGATATTTGTCTACCCATATGCTATTTTGACCTAGTAGAGCACCACTTACAAGTCCTGCTAAAGCATACAAATAAATAGATGAAGTTTTACAGTGAGTACCAAGTCAGTAATTTACGCAAATACATTAACTTAAACCTGTGCAAATACTGTTCTCTCAGTTTCTACAAGTGTGACAAATGGAAATCAATTCTTTCATAAGTTTGATTCAAGAGTATCTATAAGACTCATTGTTTGTGAAGCAATTAAAAAAATGCATACATTCAGAAAATGTTAGGGAAAAAACATGTTTAAGTTAATATTCCTTTAGCCTCACCCTAGTTTGCCTAAATATTTCATTTCTTACAAGATGGCACATGATTGTCTGGTTCCACTCAGACTAAAACACACTTGTGAAACAGATGAGCACATGCATTCAGCTTTGTACCCTTGTACGCACAAATGATTATCAGCTATCTCAAGATTCCAGCTCAGAACAGCAGACCAAATGGACTCTCTAGCTGAAAAGCCCTCCAAGTCCAAACAGGCTCCTGGGCCCCGAATTTTCATGGCAGTTTTGCCAGTAATGAGCTGAGGGAGAGGACATCCTCCGTAAAGTTTAGTGGTTAGTAGCAGTGCTCAGAAGAATGACAATCAATCACCAGTTCCATTATACATCCAAGACTTTTGTTAAGCCAGCTATATACATGTGTTTTAAAACTCGACCATTTTAACCCCATTTTACACATGAACTATTAAATTCAGCTTTTCAAATTATCTCCTGTGTTAATAAGGTACATTTACCCTTAATGTAGCCTTTTTCACGGACAGCTTGTAATGTAGGGCGCCGCGTAAGAAACTTCTTGAGCTTCGTTTTGGTCTTTTTCTGATCTGTGGAATCTATATTGCTAGGTGTTTTCACTGCTGAAAAGAGAAATGCATTTAGCATGAACACCCGTAGAACCAACTCTGCATTTATCTGCCAAGGAACCAACATTAAAGAAAAATTAAGCTCAAAAATACATTAAAAAAACCTATTCAAATCTGCAATGCATCCCCATTTTTTTCCTTAACTTTTTGGAACTCCTTGTAAATCGCATCCATTTTTCAAACCACCAAGAGACAATCTGGTCAGAAAAAACCTGTAAAACCAAGTGTTGCCTAAATGGTAGCTTACACATGGAATTGATGTGGAATCTTAAAAATATAGCTATGTTTCAAAATTGGTCCTGCATTTCATTAAGTTAACTATTTCTAAAGAAACAAATCTCTTCTTGCAAATTACACATTAAGCCTGGAAGTAAAAGACAGAAAATAGTCCGCCTGATTTCTGTGCACAGGATGTTTCTGTGATATTTCTGTGCATAGGAAGAAATTTCTGTGGTTAAAAGAAATTTAGCTCTAAAATTCTGAAGGTGTAATTAAAAATGTTTAGTTTCTCTAAATGAGCCAATATAACATCATTAGCAACTTAGCAAAATTGCAGTTTAAGTTAATAGTGCAAATATTTACAAATGCTGTACAACAAACAAAAAAGAATTCTAAGCAGTTTTGAATTTAAAAGGACAAAATATTTCTAATTCAAAATAATTTATAAAAGTCAGAAAACAAACATCTAATTATTTCTTTGCATTTGACAACACCTTGAAAATAATCCATTTCATCACTGCCTATTTTCTCCTATTTTTCCATGTGTCATAAAGCAGGAGCTAAAGACATTTGGTACTTTTTTTTTTTAAGTATGATTAATAAAACATGGAGGAAAATCTACTAACTGGCATCAAGGTGTAGAATGAACTATATAAGAAGCCTGTTTCCAAACTTCAGTAGTTTCATTTCTATCTGTCCTTCTGAATTCTTCTCTATTTAGACACAATACTAAAGATGCAAAAAATGAAAACTGGCATTGCTAAAAATCAATTAATGGAAAATTTTCAACTCACAACGAAGTTTCTTAGAGTCTTTATTCTCCTTCTCTTTTTCTTTGTCTTGTTTTTCTATCCCAGGGGAATCTGGTACATCATCTTCTAATGCTTCATCAGACTCTACTACCTATTAAATTTAAGATGATACATGGTGATCAGCTTGCCAATTCATAGAATATAGCATTAAGAAATACATTTCCTGTAGACAGTTCTACAATACGTCATTTTTCCCAATAGTGATATTCAGTTGGTTCTTTCCTGAACCCTAGATGCTAAAAATACCTTCAGAGATGATACCATTCTCACTGGCAGAGTGTATAACTTTGAGAAACACTATTTGATCATAAGACCCAATAAAGAAAGTTTTGCTGGACACTGAACAAAGTACAACCAGCCTTTCATGATAATACTTTATTACATCAACCAATAAACAATAGAAATGTTTGGGGGGTTTTGTGTGTGTTTCCCCCCCACCCCCCAATCCAGTAGACACACATCAGCTATTTCATGGTCTGCTACAGAAACACCTGATTGATAAGAGTCTAAAAAACATTTCTAGATCATTTACTCTATTTCTGATCTCTGTAATTAAAACTTTCTTAATAGAAAATAGAACTATTAGTTGGAAAATTTCACCACTGTCAAAACATACACTGAATTCACTCTGAAAAAGTAAATATACCAGTGCCTAAAATTCTTGCCCTGTGTTATTGCGCTCTCAGCATATTCTCATTAAACACAGTCAAGGGAATATGTAGCTCATGTTGTAGTGTGGAGGCAGATACCAGAGTCTGTTAAACTGCCCACCTGCAGCCTCATACCTATGCTACACACACGACTGCAGACATATCAGAAAATAGGAAAAGAAACTTCCTCTTGTCTCAGTGCAGCATGCTCCCTTCCAAAACTGCACATTTCTTACTTCAATTCTACTAAAGTAAACTTGAGTTCTACACAGTTACAAAAATCTGACTGTACAGTGCCTTTTGTTACAAGGAAGGACATTCTTAAAATAAGGCATGGTTGCGTATTCCAGAGCACTGCATGAGCAGAAGCATGACTTCATCAACTAAGTTGCACTTTAACTTGAAAGGTTGATGTTAGCTTTAAACACTCTCATTCCTTGCTGTTTTTCAAAAGCTTTGGATAGCCTTTTTACACTTCAAAGATCAACATACTCAACTGCCCAAGTAATGTCCCTGCTAAGGATCCCTCTGCCACTGAGGGCATTCGGACAGTGCTCTCTTCAGGAAGCCTCAAAGCTTTTTAGGATTGATAAATTTTAAAACTATTAACTGCTTTGGAAAAAAATCATCTGGAATCTAGTTTGTACTATGGAACAAGTCTAATCTAATAACTTGGAAATTTCTGTATGTAAAAAAGAGCAGCCATATCCTTTTCAGATAGCTATTCCTCTTGTACACCGTATTGCCACAGCAGCAGCCTGAAGGAGCAAAGAGACCCGAATCTAATCTGCGCCTTCCCCTGAGGAAGATCTCATCACACCAGAAATAACACCTCTGCCCTGGGAAAGAGATTCACAGCTACTACCACCATATAGCTCCCAAAATTAAAGGTTTGCTTCACATCTGATTGATTTTTGTACCCAAAGCTTCAGTGCTCCAAATTACCAGGTAGTCTAATAATGTACTTTTTGAACTTTCCCCTTGTAATCTTAGGTCTCTTGGCTGCCAGCTCCCAGCAGTAATACATCATCACTTCCTCAACCTAACATGTAATACCTCGCTCTCATCTCCATATTCTCATCTTTGTTTATATTTAAGCAAGTAAGAAGTGGCCTCAATTGCATTACATGGGGCAGAAAGGAGAAGGGTATCGCTGAGTGACTGCCTTGCCTGGTTACTAAGGCTCATGACATTTTCATACCAGGAGAGAGCCAAAGATTAGGAGTGTAAACCATGAGCACTCAGAAAGAAACTAAACCATTCATATTAGCCTGCTGTGTTTGGGTGGGAAATGCCCATATGTGGAAAACATTATCAGAGCTAAGAGAAATGAAGGCCACTGGCTGACATTGAAAGCAACATAAATGCAGCTTATGGGCAGTAGCCAGGCCTGTAACTATAAAAATCAAGAATACACATACACATAAAGTCAACTTGATATGAGAGGAGTATTTTCTCCAAGACCTCCTCCAACTTCTTAATTCAAAGACAGTAAATCTTGTTTGGCAATATCAAGAGCAAATGCTTGATCACTTTTTTTGTTGATTGAATAGTTGGCATTCTGCTGTCTGATAGGAACACATAATACAGTATTTTGCCAGGGCTTTTAATTTGCACTTTAGTGCAGCCTTATTAAGTGAACAGCAGCATCAAATGCTGATTAATGTATGTCATGAAGCACTTCCTTGGCCACCCTCCCCCATTATTCCCTATCAGAACCTTTCAGATCACTGAGACAGAAGTAGTATTTGCCCACAGAAGGAAGCTCGTTTCTGATCTGGAGGTCAGCCCTATTCTCCTGGTTCTTAATCCAGTGGATCATCCTCCTTCTTTTGCCACTATTAATTATATTTCATTTGTCACCACAAGGAACTGCCATACCCTGAACCTCTGGCCCACACTCAAGAAAATCAGGAAATTAAGAAGCACATGAAGCACTAGGAGTCGTTACATCAATTATTTCATTAAGTAACATTGCCTTGAAAATAGAGCCTTCAAAATTCAAACACATACCTGATTGTTGATGGTATAGTTAAGAACTTTATACCATTCGTTAATAAAGCTGTCATTATCAGATTGAATTAAGAGCTCAGTTCCTTGGCGGGTTTTTAGCTTTAAAGAAATAAAAACAGGTATCATCAGAATTGATAAACACACTATAATTAAAAAGTGAAATTACCTAAATCAAATTGAGCTTCTCCCTGGTATAACTTTTAGATAATACAGCCACTCAAGAACACTTACCAGTGAAAACAGTAAATAACAGTCTGCTTAAAATTTAAAAGCATATCACTTACAGACATACTAAAAATGGACATTTCTTGCAGGTGCTAAGATATGTCTACATTTGAGCAGTAAGAAATGTAGAAAGCTCAATTAAAGTTTTTGATTTTAATTTTATACAGAAAATTTCTTAAGTCAGTAATTAAAAGTACACATAATTCTGCATTTAAATAAAATAATTCACCTCAATAACATTCTTTTTGCTGGATTTGTCCTTTGAGGCCCAGTCAATCAATGCCCCTTTGAGATCCACTGTAAATTCTGGCTTAGACTGATTGACACCAAACTTCTGGAAAAAAAAGGAACAATGATGACAAACTTAAAAACAAACAAAGAAACTCCTAGCAGGTACACAGTCTTGTCATCCTCTAAATATAAGATACATTATTTACAGTCTATACAACTTAACCCAAATACAGTACTTTGCCACAAATCAACAGGCACTATACCAGGAAACAAGAACTAAAAACGACACACAAAACATCCTTTAAGCGTGCCTATTAAAAGCTGCTCAGCTTAAAGCCCTTAAAATTCCATAACTTTAAATGCCAACCAGATTCCAGCAGAGCTTTTTTTTCCTATCACAAATGGAAGAAGTCCTTACAGCATTGGATTTTTAGCTTGAATTTAGTCAAGATAGTCCTAAACTTTAAACTAAACTGGCTAATAAGTAACTGAACAAAAAAAACCCATTCTGTCAGTTAATCAATGGTTGTATATAAAACCAAAAATCAAGCCAGAAATAGTAGCTTTGCTAGGTAGGTATCACACCCCTCCTGCATTGAAAGAGAACTTTCAGTTTTTACATTTTTGTAATATATTTCACATACATATATGTATGTACTTCCAACTATGCTTTTCAGATTATTTTATCTTTTTCTGTAGTGTTTCTATTACATTACTGGAGCATATCCTAGTAAGTAAACAGAACTCAATTTCACTGTCTAGCTACTAAACAAACAGTGAATAACCAAAGTAATTAAGAAAAGCATTTAACCTACAAGTAACCCTTCAAACAATTTGGAGGAAAACATCAGGGAGCTATTTTTACCTAGTACTTTTACATTTTACACTAGTACCACAATTTTTTAAAGCAAAGCACTTTTACTAGGATTTCAACCTAAACCACATAGCTTTGAAATATCATTCCTTAACAAAACCAATTCAGTGACCCATACAAACAAAAAGCTCTAATTGTGAGTAAAATAAGTAAAACACAGAACAAGGAAAGCTGTCTCTTTTTTGTAGCACAGAAATTTAATGCTGTAGTTCTACGGGAAGCTTGTAGCATCTGATCCATCAGAAAGGTTCTTTTTTATTTCTTTAAAAAGTCTTTGATGTGCGAATGCTGTTTGTGTGACAGCTCTGGGAGACCTAAGCCCCAGGACAAGCTCCTTGCTGCCAACACAAGTTTCCAGCCTGTACGAGAACAGCCATATCCAAGGGGAGAAAAAACGGTTCAGAAAACAGAACTAATCTGCTGCTTCTGATTAAATTCCCAGCATGGATGTTAATTAATGCTAATTGTGTTTTAGAAAGTCTGTTTACCACTGGAAAATTTCCCTGCCTTGAGTCCTAGGCAATTAAGTGTTGAACGGAAACTAGCATCTCAACTTCTTTATTTTACCCATGAAGTATCAGAATAGGGGAATATTTCTCATTTACCCAATGCCAACTAGCACTTGAAAAACAAACAAAAAATCTCCACAAACCTTCTGCTTTCTAACTTAATTCTCAGATACCTCATCCAAGAACATTAATTATAGTAGAGCTTTTGAGATAGGCCCAGCTCAGCAGTGAAGTCCACAGGAACAGGAACAATCTCTGGGCCATCATGGCTGTTGCAGTTGTGGGCAGCTACGCAGCAGCTGCCTATTTAAGAGAGATTCACATAACTGCTTCACATACAACCAAAGTGCCCCAGCCACATATTTCCTGATAGCCTAGATCAATCTTGCTGCATGGCGGGGGGGGCGGGGGGGGAATCAATTCAGAGAGTTTGGCACTGGAGAGAGGAGACTAATGCCAAAGTCCTCTGTAGGACCTGGGGGGGGGGGGGGGGTTTCTTAAAAAAAACACCACCCAGATGATGCTGAGAAGCACAGGAGATGACCTGCTACAGGTGAAATCAACAAACAATGACAACAAAAATGTAATGGTCCCCACTGTTCTGACCAAAAGGAAACCCCTCCAGTACAGTAGCTTGCTGAACTCCCTACCTGACAGATCACAGTACAACCTCAAACTCCTTTGTACTCTACTCATCTTTTTGGCCTGGCTCCCTTCAGTATTTCAGAGAAGCACAGAACAAGTCAAAAACTAGAAGCTAAATTTCTCAGAGGGGAAAAAAGAAGTCTTCCCCTACTCCTTCACAAAAGCAGTGCCCAGACTGCTGTGTGAGATCCAAGGATGGGGAAACCCATGCAAATAATCCAGCCTCTCTGCAAAGCTCCTCTCATACACCAATATATTATATACTCATCACAAACTTAATTTCTTTATTCAGGGAAATTTTAAGTTTAGCACACAGGCTCTCCTATGAGCTTTCCTGACAAAGTTCTCTTCTGCTCCTGGGTATATGAAAATGAGACACCAGCAGCCATTTCCCTCCTTGAAAGCTTCCAGGGGCAAGTCCTGTTCAGGGCTGCTCAGACGCTCTGCATATAAAGGTTAGCTAAAGGCAAATCAAGCCCTCCTGAAGCAAACGGATTCTGTTGAGAGCAGTAAAAAGAAAACCTTTCCCTTCAGCATCTGCTGCCACCTAGACATAAAGTCTGCTTTCTCAAAACAGAGTGCGCTACCAAGTCAGCACTAGTCAGGACAAATTCACCTCTGGCTGAGCAGACACCTTATTCTTGCTGGATTGCTCTTTTGAGCTGTCTGGGAAGTTTGGAAAGGGCAGCAGTTTGAGACAGAAAGAGGGAGAGTTCTGTACATGGTGTTGCCAGCTGTCCTAGGTATGAAGCTGTCTTAGAGTCACTTCTGACAGTTTTTTCTAGAAAAAGCAGTATAGTCATGGGATGTGTTTATGCTAGTTATATGGCAGAGATAACTTCTACTTTTTGGAAACAATAGAAGTTTGTGGGTTTTTTTGCTTTAGACACAGTAGATGCTGTGCAGCTTAAGGATTGCCTTGAAGCTGTGTGCTGACATCAACAAATAGAAGGTCTTTTCAATCTTTTCCAGAGTTTTCTCCAAGTCCTGGAAACCTCCACAGGACAAGCCACACAGTCTGTATTGTGATATATTCCAGCATTCTTTGGAAAAAGAACTGGATGTTATTTATGGAAAGACTTTGGATGTACAAATGGCACCTGCCATTCTCGTAATTCTGTTTCTAATCACAGTTGGGTAGAACATTTTAATTCCAAGTCCTCATCATCCATGGAGGGACTGCAGAAATAGAGCTAAGGAGACAGATGCTCTTTTGTGGCTGGTAGGGGAGCTTCAGAAATTACAGCTTTAATAAAGAAAGAAAAATATAAATATATTCTTTATTGTCATAGCAAAATAATGGACATTTTTTGAAACTAGACTGATAGGAATATTTGCATTCCAAATAGTTTTCATGATAGTCATCTGAGCTCCCATATAATCAGCTGTGCAATACTGATGGACTATAGTAGTGTACATACAACATCCTTGGCTATAAACACTGTGGTATAACACACTAAACGAGAGTTTGCCCAGATGAACCTTGAAGGGAATTTATTTCCTTGATGTTTGAGAAGTTTACCCACTTTTGGTTTATCACTACTGTACTTGACACTGAGGACATGTGCCTGTTACATAAGGTTGACGGATTAATCCTTCTAAGCAGTTACCATTTGCTGTTTTATGAAGCCCCATCACTAGAATTTGGCAATACCTATTACAACTCATTCACACCAAAAGTTGAGAGGCACCTTCTTTCAACATCTGAAAATTTAAATTTCTGTGAAAAGACATATTAAAAAACCCCCAGGTTTCCTTACCAAACTGTGTACAAATTATCTGTTCAGGCTTCCACATATGTAACAATGAATTTGACAAAGAAAAGCCAGTTGCATCATTTTTAGCATAAAGTTAATTGAATAAGCCTACAGTTACTCCCCTCTATGGGACAAAAAAAAATTAAAGTCATTAAACAGTCATTCTAGAAGTCTCGGGAACTTTAACTAAACTCAAAACATGTAGCGCTCTCACCACTCTTCAGGAAATACAAGCCAAGATACCAAAATAGTTTTAAACATCACTAACACTTTAAAATACTCCAGAAGTCAAACTATTGAAACATTGCTTTTAATATCTTCAGCGTATGATTTTCTCCATGAAAGCTTTAGCTTGATTCTGAAAAGAGTGCTGAGAAAGTGGTATTAAAAACCAATTATACAGCCAGTCAAGCCTGTTTGTTTCCTCTAACACTAGTATCATTATCTAAATTCCTCCTCATCCACCTTGAGCAACAAGCTACCGTATTAGCTACTAACATTTTATCAGTTCCTGATATGCAGCACTTCTATGCTTGGCATCTACACTTCAAAACATGATTAACTACAGATGCTTAAATTATATAGAGAGAGTCCTACAAATTTACATCAGCTTTTTGTATGTGGCATATAGCCAGAACATCCTTGAGCTCTTTTTGTTTCAGCTTTTTATGCATAACATTTACATTTTGGGGTATCCCAGTTATAGCTAGAACTAATGAAAAGCATGTATATCATTGTATCAAAGACATCATAGGCACCTTACAAGCATCCTAAATTAGTTGTGTTAGAAAGAATTAGACATAAAATATCTGTTAAAAAACTGACCATATCATGCTGTTTATTAGTCAAGGCACTAGTGGTTCAAATAGGAGGCAAATTTGGGATTATAATTCTTGCACTGACAAACCAGATAGATACTCTTTCTACTTTGTTCCATTAGAACAATTACAGGATTATTGCAATACACTTGCGTTAATTTGCACCTTGGATGACTTTCAGAAAACAGCAAACAGGATACACAAGGTGTTATATGAAGTGACGAAACTTAAATGTTCAAAAAATTCAAATTTACTTTCAAGATTAGTGGCAAATAGCCTTACAGTGACAAGAGGCATGCAACAAGAACACATACAGTGATAGCTGAAACTTGGTCAGAGTTTACATAGGTGACAGCAGGTCGACGACTGAGAGCATTTTTCCAAGAAGAAAGCAGCGAGAGCAAGAGCTCAGGAATTGAGCCCCCTTGGCAAAATGACTTGATGAGAAAAAGGAAGAAAAGTGATGAAGTCACAAAACAATGCACAAAAAAAGAAGATATGGTTATATCAATCACTAGACGAACACTAACCAAATATTCTTCTCATAAGATGAAGAAGAAATGTAATTCTTATCATATGTCAAACTGTTAGACTTGACTTCACCTTATTACAATACTGACACAGATCAGATTTTGAGAGGTGAGGTGGAATTTCTAACACCTCAAAAAAAAAATTCCTACAAAGAGTAAAAAAAGTGTGTGCTGAATATTTAATTGCATATTTACAAAGCCAACTGTGAGTATGCGGGTATACAACACAAAGTCCTTGAAAGATATTTTTCTCTAATATTTCCAGCTGCACTTTATTCTGTTGATACTGTTGATATTTATTTTGCTGACTCAACTCCAATATTTGACAGTACACATACCTGACAGAGTCGCACAGAAATATTGTGATTATGATACTTTTGCTCCACTTACATTATCAAAAGAATTTATGCCTTTTTTTTTCTTCCACCAAATGACTATATTTGGAAGGTGTAAGACAACTTATAGTAGTATCCCTAAGCAATAAGCAGAGTTCCATGATTAACTTTTATGGATAATTCATTCGGGCACACATTCATTCATAACAATATCATACTTTCATAAACAGTATCTTGGTTTAGCACTGCATGTTTTAATGATATCAACATATAGTTAAAATAATGTGGGGGTTTTTTTATCTACAGCTACATTTGTATTAAGACATTAGTAGCTGTAATCAAGCTTTGGAACTTGATTACTCAGATGAAATGTGTTACTTTCCAAACATGCGTATTTATACCTATAGAACTAAAGGACTTTTTGTATCCTTAGCTATAAAAGTAAATTGCAGAAGTCACCAAATCCACTTCCTACCAGACAGCAAAATTTACCTTATTTCATGCCTTTAATCTTTATTCTTTTTCCTTCTCTTCTCTTTTCATCCTGCTTGACCATCTGGCCCAACTTTACTCTTTCCATTCTATTCTACCCCAAATGTTGTTATTTATTCATCCTCACCCATTTTTTTCCAACCACCTCTTTTACAGCAGCAGAAGAGGGGGGCACAGGGGGGAGAAGTTTACAGGTCTGAAATAAATGAACTCAATGCCTGAGAAAAGAATTGTCAGTATCAATTCACTACCCAAGAAGAAGCACAGCAGGAGAAAGTGAGCCAAGTACAAAGACCAGCAAAGCACAGCAAGATAGCATATATCTGTAAGATGTAATTTTGCTAGAATTCGCACGATAATACACTGGAATAATGAATACTGAATCTGGTCTCTCTTTAGTTATTATAGGAGATCTACACAGTTTAATGTCAGACCTCCAAAAGTAGGTACGCAAGCTGTAGATAAAGAACCATTTCCGTATCTATTAATGTAGGAATGCAGCTGGATAAATATAGCCAATTTATAGTGCTATTAAACTAGAGGTGATATAAAAATTGAATAGTCATCATCTTCAGTGTGATGTTTCTCTTTAGGTCTCCATCAGACAGCAAAATAGATACAAATACTTGTCACGTACTATGCAGATATAAAACAAAATACGGATTCCAGCAAGGCAAAGACTAAACGATAAGACAACAATACTACATTATTCAAACTGTCCCACGCCAGAAGCCAAGTGTCAGACTATTTTCTTTGTTACATGTATCACATTCAAAATTTCCTGAAGTTTACGAAAAAATAACCAAGAACAGTAAAACAAACAGTTTAGACAAACACATTAGTAAGGAACACAAAAATATTTGGCCTGAGCAAAAACTTCACGCTTACAGAGCACCTGAATACCCCTTTATCAGTTTCTTACTTACAAAAATGTTTCTGAAATATAAAAAAGTGCAACTGGTTTTCTTCTCATTTTACATCATAATTGTTAATCTATTTTCCTGCTAACTTACACTTTTTTTTTCTAAATTATGCATGCATATTGGTATTTAAGCCCTACAAATAAGAGAGCTTTAATTTATTGTGCTTTACGTGATTAACACTTAAACGAGGGTGGGGGTTGTTCCTGAGCTTACCCAGCCAGTTCCACTTCCTTGGGTTTTAGTGAACAGCAGTGACGAACCTTGTAACACTGCCCATGATGACATCCAATTCTTTCTGTAAATATTTGTAAACAAACGTAAGATAAATTGCCTTTGAAAGCAGAGATTTAAACTGTCAATCACTGTTGACCAACTGACCTGTATATTAACATACTTAACCATGTATATGATCATTAGTGCCATCAGCAAGTCTTAATTGCTATCATATTTGTGGAAGGGAACATATGTTAACAGTCCCAGCCTGACCATCAAAGTCTAAATCAAACAAAGCTAATTAGTAGTGGAAGCAGTTCACCAGCAGAAAAATCATACAATTATAATTTCAAAGGGGCTAATCTGGAACGCTCACCTCCTGTGTATTTAGCAGATTATGCCAACGTACTGCATAAATCTGAAATTGATTGATCACATCTAACTGGGCTGCAAGTGTCACACCTTTATGTAATAAGTTCACTTACATTGGCAATAAAGTATTTCCTACACACCTTCAAATGCAGAAAAAGGAATAAATGAGTTGTTTCAGCTGTCTATTTGCTTTTATGCCTGAGTACCTGTCCTCCCGAGGTTAAAAAAATAAAAAGTCTTGACAAGCCCTGACAATCTATTCCCATTGCACAAACACTAATTATTATTCAACAGCTCTCAAAGTGACAGGACGGCCATGTTGCACCTTTCTGTACAGCAGCACAGTAGTCCAGATCAATGAGTCCAACAGATGTAACATAAATAGTGGGAGTATACTGTACTGGTAGCAGCTTACATGAGCCACTGTCCACCCTTTCCTACCACCTCTTAGGAGCAGCTCTGACAAACCAAATCAGGGGTCAGATGTGCTGCCCAGCTGCACTGGACTACATCGGGGTGGCTCTGGAATATAGCTGGGAGCTGACTATATTTAGTCCTCAGGAAAAGCGTGCTTCATGTATCAAAAGTCTGGGAAACACTGAACTAGATACAACACAGTATTAGAATTAAAAGATTAAATTTTTTAAATGTAAAAAAAGTAGAAAGTAAACCTAAATTAAATCTGAAGATGTGCCACACTTATGCAGTATTTAACACTGACTCTTTGCAAAACACCAGAAATGTAAGTTAGACAGCATTACTTCATTACACATTATGATTTGTAATGGAAATGCCTGCCTGTGAGGCAGAGAAAGGAAGTTAGAAATGAGATCATTCGTCACCTACAGGGAGACCAACGCTGGGCGATACATCCTGCTTCAAACCCTTCTCAAGCAGAGTGAAGCAAGAATTAGGGAGCTCATGACATGTACACGCCTTGGAAATTAAAGGAGATTAAGTCTTTCAGACTGAAGCCCCTTTTACACCAATTCTATCCAAGGAACAAGACAGGCTATAACCTATACAGATTTTCTCTTAAATAAATAAATCAATCCCATTTTTAAAAGCTCTCTCTCATCAGTACACCTTCATGAAATCACTGCCCTGTGTGGAGCCCTGGCATCCACAAGCCTCTGACACTTTCAAGTCCTTTATCTTTAGCTCACTGGGAGAAACACATACTTTAGGGTAAGGAAAAGATGTGTCCTACAGGAAAACTTCTAAGACAAATTTGGACAAAAAGTAAGAAAATGCAAAACCCAGTATGTTGTCCTACTATAAAAGTTGGATACCCTACACAAACCCTTATGCATATGTATTTCTAGAAGTCCAAGACTTACCGAACTTTCTTCCCATTTTCTGTAATTTTTGTCACGTTCAATAACCCATACTTCTCTTGACCCTGTAAGATAGAGTAAGACATAACAAATATAAAAGAAAATCTGCTTCTATTGCCATCACAGCACTGAATTCAATCCTCCAAATAATCAGTTTCTAGCAGTGAGCCACCTTTGCCCATGTTATAACTTCAAGAAACTATCGTAAGTATATTTAAATATGAAGAGAGCAGCAAAATCAAAGTTCCTCTGGGAAAGTACTCATTAGCATTCAGAGGTAAAAAAAAAAACAACTTTCCTCCTTCAAGACCTAGGTTCTTTGGACAAGACAAACCAAATCATTTGTGGTACTAGACAGCAGAAGTTTTAAACATAAATTTATAATGATTTGTGTAATAGCACATTTGTGTTTGTGTCCTTCACTTAAAAAAAGGAGATGGCTGACAAACAAACGGCCTAAATTCTCTGACAAAATTCTTTCAAGTTACTTTAACATAATCGCATATTTTAAATAAAACATGGTTGAAATGCATAAAAATATTAACATACTCATTTTAAAAACAGATGAGTGAAACATTTCTTTGATGTCCTATTTTTTCTGATCCCCAAGCAAAATATTAGAATTTTAAACTACTTAGTTATGTCTTGTTGATGAAAATCATTTATATTGGTATGCCTCTGTACAAATTTGCAGATCAGCCAGTGAGAGGTGGAAAAAGAACACTGCTGAACAAGAAGGGTATTTGCAAGTTTCAAATATTTGGAGTGAATATTTCCAGTTTCTACACAAAAATAATAAAATAAAAGGAATGTTTGAAAAAAAAATTCTAGGACAAAAAGAAGACCATTGATTTATACCATTTGTGACTCTCAAGATGAGGTAACAAATTCTATCATTTTCTCCTGTCATCCAGTCTTGCCCTACCAGTAAATGGTGCTAAAGGAATGTTAAATTATTTTTAATCAATTTCTTTTCAGTAATGGCTTGTAACAGTTCCTAATTTAAGAACTAAGCTATTAGTTAAAACAATCAACTAGGGAAAGGATCCAAATTAGTTTTATCATAACAAAAACGTCCTCAATTCTAGATCCAATGAAAATACAAGATATATTCTCTTCAGCATCCTCCTCTAAATCTCAAATTTAAGTGGACCATAACTGCAGAATACAATACCGAAGAGAAATTTTTTGCTGGAATACTGTGACAACACTCTTACTAGAGACACAGATCTGTTTTTCACGAACCTTAAGGTTTTACATACATGTTTCAAGCAGAGCACATAAAATACAAAAAAAGGACATGTTTTCAAGGACAATAGTGTTTAGCTTGTGGTTCAGATGTTATTTGAGTCCAGTGGTAACTGTTATTCTTAATGTAATATCTCCATTGGGCTAGAATGCCATCCCAAGCCAGTGATATATTCATTATTTTCCAAAACTGCTATTTTCATTAGAAGAAACAAGTCACTTCCCTCCCTGACACACCCCAAAAAAAGGAAAAAAAAAAAATATTAGCCCATTCTTTAGACCACTTTATTTGTGATCCATGCAGACCACCACTAACCATTCTATGCACTGCACCCTTCTAACAAACCTTTGGCTTTAGTAAGTGGAACGGCCTGTCACCATCTTTCACAGTGACTGAGCAAACCCATGCCCACTTTTTCAAATAAATTACGGGTTTAATATATCACTCGTCGTGGAACCAGTGGGAATGCTCCAGAGAAGAATTATTCAGAAAAAGTATCATAATGCCCTACTTAGCAGCAACACTAGGGGGTACTAATGGGAAAATTAACGTAATTGGGGAAAAGGAAGTGGAAAGCAAGTTAAGGATCAAAATACACAAAAGTTCACCAGCTTGCTTTGTAATATTTAAATCCCAGGGGACAGCTAAAGAAAAGAGATTATTTTTTTTTCCCTATTATCTAAAGCAGCAGTGAGTTCTTCTACAAAATACAATTTTAATAATTCAAGGTCTGAGCCATATTTAAAGAAATTAGAATACATGCAGCAATAATTGCTTGTGTGTAAGGCTATCAACTATGCTTACTTAATAAACAATGTTTATTTTATTGTGGAAAACTGTTTGAAGAGCTGTAAGAATGGATTAACATGAATAAGCCAGAGAACCATTCCTCTGCATGCAGAGTAAGAATAAAACAGGAGAAGTTGTGCCTTTAGTGCCCTGAGCTACCTACTAAAGGGCTGCTAAAAGTGATCAAGGCACATCTCAATGCTACTGTAGTACAGTTCCAAAATAAAAAATAAAAAAAAAAGATAAAAACTTCATTTTTTTCATTATTTCCCACTGTCTAAAAACCAATAAACTGAAGCAAAAAATCTGTTAAACATTCATAATAAGTTTAACAACCTTAAGTTTTCCTCCCAGTTATCTGGGAATTAGCTATTCTGCCAAATCAAAAAGACAGTTTATTTATGCCAAGTTCTCTATGTCTTCTTTTCAAGGAGACTGAAACAAGTAAAAAATAGAAAACTCAAATACTCCAAATGATTACTGACTACTGATAGTGAGACATTCTATGGAGAGGGGGAGTTTGTTTCTGCTTTTACCTTCCAAGTTGCTAGGTGAGAAGACATGACTGTTGGAGGAAGTAAAACGAGTCCTACATAATTTGACATACCTTTATTCCACAGTGAATTTTTAACTTAATCTCCTATTGCCAAACTGTACTTAAACCAAAGACATTTACATTTTTTCTGAAAGCACAGTTGGATGCAACGCATTCCTTTTAAAATGCAAAGCCTTCAAATAGTTTTATCCCATTATTTTTCTCAATAACAAGCAAGCTTACCCTCAATTTTCTAATCATGAATAGCCCAGTTTCTACCGTATCTACTTATCTATTTAAACACTTTGCATACTGACTGTGGCTTGATGCTTTGGTGAAGAAGGAGAGGACTCATTTTCAGGAAAACCGGCCTTAGAAGCAATTGATGATTCCTATAAAATTTAAATAAACAACATAAGTTATTATCTTTCTTACAATTCTTTTAATTCTTAAGTCTAAAGATACTTTGTCTCCCCCCACACTCAACACATTACAATAAAAGTACTTTTTTTTAAGCATTCGTGGTATTCTCAGCTGTATTATAAACCTGCTTACTAAACAGTGTTCTTACAAGATTTACAGACAACACTCAAACTGGGTTAATTAGCACATATCCATTTGAAAAAAATGTTAATACATACTGTATCAGCTTAAAGCAAAGCTTTCATCCTTATTAAGGGGCAGATTTTTTAATAGGACATTGTATCAAATTATGAAGCACGTTTATAGTACTAACTTATCATAGGGCACCATATAATAAATACCAAGATTTTAAAGAACAGATTATGACTCTGTGTGGTCAGTAAATATAAGATTAGTACAATAAATTGTTATACATATAGAAAAGCATATACCAGCTCTATTAATTTTTGTGAGTCATGATCGTTAATTTCCTTATGATCAAGCACTGAAAATTTCTAGAGATTCAGGTCTTTGCTTTAAACTAGACATTAACTATGAACCAAAAGAAAGTACCAAATCTCTGAAAACTAGAAAAATTGCCCATCTGGAACAAAAAAGGCATGTGTGTTTCCTCTGAAGTAATGATTGCTTTGCACAAACACACCACTTGAAAATCTGGTAAAGAATTTCAAACAGAAGAAAAACATCATTTGTTCTCTGTTACTGTTGGCACATTTCTCCCCCTCCCTCTTTTTAATTCCTTTGATAGCTCTCCCAAATTCAGTTTGCCTTTCCAGCATTACATAACACTCTGCACATCTGTGCTTTAAAATCCACGTGTAAAACTACCTACAGGAGTGGCCCACTAGTTCTTTTAGTAGCCTAACATTAGCAATCCTAAGAACAGTCTAAATGTTCCATATTTTCAGATGTTGGGCGGGGGGGTGGGGTAAGGTCAAATTAAGGAAACCAACATTGTCTCTCCCAGGAAGGTATTTTTTTCCTCTGCTTACCAATTTTTTTAGCTGATGGCTATATACAGATATGTGCCACAGCCAAAAACCAGTTAACAATTACGTCTGATATCATCAAATTCTCATCAGCCATGGCAACCCATACTTTCTCTCTGACACATTTCAAGCACTCTTTTGACTGGCCTGTTCTCATAGAATTGAGTTGTGTTGTTTTTCCAGGAGAAACAAATAAGTAAAATAAAAAGAAAATAGCTTCCCTAGGAGTCAGCTAAAAACCTAACTTGTGGTTGATATGCCTATCCAGACAAATACCAGTTGTTTTTCTTTTTAATATCATTCTGAATTTGAGATAGCTTTCATACACTAAGCAACTCTGGAACAAGAAATCTAGTATTTGTGGTCATGAACTATTCCCTTTCCACATACTAAATCAAAGCAGAATACATAACAGTGTGCCTGCCAGCGGTAATAAATGGGTGCATCAGTGCACTAAACAAATTTTGTCTTTCCACAAAACATTCGTTTATTGCGCCGCTACACATTTTTAATTTTCTTAAAGCATTAACACTGTGCTTTACATGAACTATATATTCTCCTTACCATTAAATAAATGCATGCTCCCTGCATGTTCTGAAGCTGTTAAAAGCAACTTTAAGCTACTGACTTAGACTTTACAAATATGGGTCATATATAGTTTGTTTTTGTTATTACACTAGGCATTTGTACACTTTCATGTCTGCTTCACTAGGTTTAAGGTCTTGGTATTTGAACATTGGGTCTTGAAGAAAAGTAAACAGCTCCACTTATTCAATGTTTTACAAGAGCTCCTTCATTCTGTGCAGCACTACATAAAGGTTGTTCCAAAACAGAAGTAGATCTTATGCCAAAAAGTAAAAAGATAAGTCTTCCCTTAAAAGTGAGGCCGAAACCTGTAAGCTATCTCCAGCAGAACTGTTCATAACTGTGAAGTGCAAATTGCACATGAGGCTTGAAGCATCCACTCAGCTTTGATTTATCAGGACTCCATCTAGGCTGTCTCTCACGCAGTGCCACACACACTCAGCACAGAAGGACGCGTAAGGAGGAGCAGGGAGGGGAAAGGAGCAGTACAGGGACCTCAGAATCACTCGAGCTAAATTAATGCATACAGGCGCAAAGTCTCCAGCCAACCACGGTCCACTGCCTCCTCAGCACCACATATGATATATTCTAAACTGACAGCTCAAAAGCTTAAGATCAAATCCAATAAATCCTATTCTGAGGATCTAAGTCAACTCATGACAACCCACTCTCCTATACTCCATTTCAACAAGGAAAGCCACTAAAACCTACCGGAAACAACAGGTCGAGCAAGTAACATTCTGGGCAGCAGATCTGTTTTCATTACAACTACTGTGTTCTGTTCTTTTAAGTTTTTCTTTACACAGGTCCACTTACATGCTCTTCTGCCTGCTCCCAAATCTACAGTCATTTCATTTTCCCCTGTATCTTTAGAAAAAGGGAGTTTACAATGCCGTTCCCTCATATCTCATTCTGAGTAGTCTGTGCTATGATTTCAGCATTACAAAGTATTTCAGTTTCCATGAATCTTGGGATGCACTGCTGCAAAAGTTACAGAAACCAGCAAGCCACCAACATACAACACCCATTTCAGTTCCTCCCTGCTCAGCTCACACCACCTCTCCTCATCCACAGCCAGAATGACCCAGCACAAGCAGAAACGGCTGGGACAAAAATCAAACCGGAGAGAGACAGGCAGAGGGACAGCAAGGGAGAGGCTCTGTCTCCTTGTTGGCCTAAACAGCATCTGTTTCCATACAGCTCAAAATGGACTACCAAGACGATGCCCTAAGAACGGGCAGAAAATAGCTTTTGTTCTTACTGACCCGCAGCTCTTTTCAGACTAAACACCCAGCTCAGCTCTGGACAGGATCAAAGCCAAGTGTTTCAGCACCTTGAGTACTGTCCTCTGTCCTTCAATAACAATATTACAACCCTACTGTAACCACGCACAGCTTTTCCTCTTTTCCTGAGATATTGCAGTGGAGGATCAATGGAACAGTCATTAAAGAGATACATCCACTATATAATACTACTATTTACATCTTTAAAGGATAGTTTTTACTGTAGCAAGTGCAACTTTTATTTCAACTCCATGAATATTTCAATTATTCACCTGAAATCTTTCCAGTGTATTCCTACTTGGTGTTTCCTAGAATTAAAACATTCAGGTATGAAATATCACTATACCTTACATGAAAACTTACCCACATCCATAATTCTTGCAGTCAAACCCTAATTACACTCCACAGCCTGAACTGAATTGGGAGATTCCCAGTTGTAAACAAAATAGCTGTTCATGCCAAACCTTGAACTAACACTAGTTAAAATACTTAAAGGGTAGCAAGAAAAGAGCTACTACTCAGAGTGACAATAGTAAAGTTATGGAACAGCCCTTGGTTTCGCTGAATGCTATACACAATGATACAACAGAATATAAGAAAAACGAGAATTCAGAAATTCATGTATACTCATTTCTCTTAGATTAAACACTTCACACAACAGAAACAGTTGGTATTCCAGCATGCTGTTTAACTTGCTCCTACCTTATCGTTGGTGTCCAACACAATTGTGCTGTGCCTCCATTTTGTTAAAACTATTGGTTCTTGTAGCCTCCTGTCCAGACTCCTACTCTTTATTATATCTCTTTGCTGCTGTGGTGAAGCATTATACTAAAGAAGAGAAAAATCAAACTATAAGTAGAATCTAATTCATGCAAACAAGACTTGGACATATCATTCATACACCTTAACAGTGCAAACTTTCAGATTCCTGATGTTGCCCAAGGGTGCAAAAATAGTCTTGGTTTTAATTTTGCATTTAGTCTTCAGAACTGTCCTTTCTGCTGTAGTCCTCTCCAAGGCAGTAACTAAGACTGGTCTGTTGGGATAATACTCTCCACTGGCAGACAGATGTCTGAATTCTTGCGCAACAGCTTACTGCTGGTTTTGCAACCAACCAGAATATTGAGAACCACCAAGGAATCAGAATAAATACAAGATTTAAACATTCACTCTTCATATTGCACTGACAGTACAATACCACCTGTCCAGCTCTTGTGTAAGAAAAGGATAACTATTATCCTGCAGTAAGGTACTTAGATAGAGAGTTATGATTGCCTGGATATCATTCTCTTTGACCCAAAGGTTTGGGATGCCTAGGAGAAGAGACAGGAGGGTGAGGACTTGCTTTTTCAGAACAATCATATCAAATTACTTATAAAAGGATTTGCTGGTGTGGAATGAACATAAGCATGGAAAATAAATATTTAGCAGGAAATAATTTTAAGACTCAACAGAGCTGTAATAGCCAAGGAGAGAATGGATTTATCATAACATAGCTTTTCTAATAACTCAAGAGTATTCAAAGATGTACAGGCTGAGAAAATGTGAAGGTCATGGGAAAGACCCAGCATTTAATTAGATCTCGGCATTGGAGCGTACTTCTTATTAGTAGCATTGCCATTTTAAATCATCACCACCAACACTGAGGTAGCAGTGAAGAATTATGAAGAATTATAAAAATAGTTCAAACAACGTTTAATACTGAAAATACAAACAAGAAAAGACAACATCAATGCATGGGGGTTTTTTTAAGTCATTAAAAATCTCATTCTTTCTATTCAGCGTTAGAAGTCTAAAATCTGCACATAGAAAGAAGCATAAGGCAGCACTTGCAGAGTCATATAAAAAACTAGAATCCACTGGATAAGAAGTAACAAAGGAAAGTAAAGGGTTCTTTGTATTTAAAAAGGCTAAAGCAATAATCTTTGCAAGCACAATGAATTCTACAGTTTTGCTACTGATTCCTACTGTAAGCTCGGGGCCTGAGGTCTTCAAAGACAGAATAACCTGTACCTACACATACCAACAAAGCATGACAAGGTTTAACCTAAATAACATAAATGTTAAATTTAAGCTAAATTGCATAACACAGTTACATTTATTGCCCAGAGAAAGAACCAGCATTACTACTGTCATGGCAGACACTATGTTTGTGTTAGCTTTGTATTGTAAATACTTCCAGGTGAATCGATCTTGCAGTACTGAGAATAAAATCCAGTAGTTAATGTACAGATGTAAATGTATTTCAGCAAAACTATGTCTAAATCGCAGAAAGTTTCCACAAACAGCGTTCCATGCAGCGGTTCTAACACATTTAAGAGGGCAATTCTAACATATTTCTTGCTATGAAACAGAACCATTTATTTCAGAAACAGATTTACACTTCAGTGACACCAGTGAATATTATTTATGGAAATGCATTTTCCATTTGAATAACTTGAGGAATTTAAGTTTAAACAGTCAAAGACTTATTTTAAAGTAATTTAAATTTAAATCTATGTTAAGAGTTAGGATATGGGCACAAGCCTAATTACAAGTGATCTATATTTAAAAGGTGTCTTTGATCCTATCACAAACCATCAGGAGTTAACTTATCTAACAGATAACCCCACCCTGAAGGAGAAAGGACCTGTAAAGTAATATGAAATTCTAGTTTTACAAAATATATTTAATATGATAGCAAAGCAACAGTATTTGGAGCTCATTAACAAAGCACTGCTAACAGCTCAGGAACACTGAGCTATATGCATCTTAGCAGCTTAAATAATTTGCACTGGTGATACAAACAGCATTACTAAACTGACAAGTCTTTAAAGGGAACATTTGACATTTTTGCCCCATTTTCTCACAATAGAGGCATCACATCAACATTTTTTGCTCAGGTATATATGGGTTTGTTTTGTTTGCTTTACTATACAAACAGTAGAACACGGGG